GTTATTGGTGTTGTCCCCACTGAGACTCAAACCTCGTACCCATCGCTTCGAACGCCTAGGCGTTATCCACTATACTACAGAGGAACGGTAGCCGGTCCTTGTACTTGTGATTCTCCGTTGTTTTTATTGGATCTAATTGTTCAACCTTTGTTGGTATATGGGCTCCTATGCGTATACCTCGACATTACCTGAATGTCAATTATGGTAATTTACTTGGTTGTAGTTAGCAGGAGAATTCAGGATATGCGTTTCGTCCTATTTGTGACTCGTCAGCCGGATGTACCTGCGGCCCAGTAATGTTGTTCTCACTGAGACTTGAACCTTGTACGCATCACTTCAATTTGATCAATTAAAACAGCGGAGAATGACAAGTATATCAATAAATATTGATATTGTCAGAATACCTAGGAAGGGTTTTCAAATCATTTATTCCATTACACCGGTCACCAAAATTGCTGCAGATATACAAATGTATTCAGTCATTACTCTGCCTATATACCTGAATCGATACTTCATATTTCGTTGACTCTTTCAAGCGAATTCGATTCCACTTAGCTATCATTTGTTGTTCATAACATTAAACCGTAATCTTATCATTCTCATCAAATTAATCAAATAACCTTGATTCACTGAGTCATTTAATCTAATTCACCTTTTGATTTGTATTGCACAGTATGTTCTGTTGAGTTATCTGATTGATTTAAAGGGTTGACTTTTAAGCTAGCTAGCTAGCTAACTAACTAACTAACTAACTAACTAACTAACTAACTAACTAACTAACTAACTAACTAACTAACTAACTAACTAACTAACTAACTAACTAACTAACTAACTAACTAACTAACTAACTAACTAACTAACTAACTAACTAACTAACTAACTAACTAACTAACTAACTAACTAACTAACTAACTAACTAACTAACTAACTAACTAACTAACTAACTAACTAACTAACTAACTAACTAACTAACTAACTAACTAACTAACTAACTAACTAACTAACTAACTAACTAACTAACTAACTAACTAACTAACTAACTAACTAACTAACTAACTAACTAACTAACTAACTAACTAACTAACTAACTAACTAACTAACTAACTAACTAACTAACTAACTAACTAACTAACTAACTAACTAACTAACTAACTAACTAACTAACTAACTAACTAACTAACTAACTAACTAACTAACTAACTAACTAACTAACTAACTAACTAACTAACTAACTAACTAACTAACTAACTAACTAACTAACTAACTAACTAACTAACTAACTAACTAACTAACTAACTAACTAACTAACTAACTAACTAACTAACTAACTAACTAACTAACTAACTAACTAACTAACTAACTAACTAACTAACTAACTAACTAACTAACTAACTAACTAACTAACTAACTAACTAACTAACTAACTAACTAACTAACTAACTAACTAACTAACTAACTAAGCAACGAAAGACACTAAAATAATCGACATTTTAGCGTATATGTTTCTACTTTTTTTATCAAAATCTCACTTCTACTCTAATATATTCTCATAATGTGTATTCAATCACATTATCGTCACCAAGATGACTAATTTTATAAATGAAATGATATCTTGTTCTTCCATTATTCAAGGAGTATACAAAAACTAGTAGATATGAAATTTAATGTTTGTATTCATATGTTAGCAGATTTTACGACATGAGCTAATAAAATGGACTATTGAAATCTTTGATACAGTTGTCAATCTTCATCAACTCAGATGGTTGGGATATATATTATGTGTGTGAATGCCTTAAACCACCGTCTACCTTGTTGGACAATGTTGGCTGAAGTAGGTTTAGACTGGAAAACAGCTCGGGATGATCAGGCTATAAACATGGCATCAATGCATAAAGTCCATTCTTTTCAGTCATGTAGGGCAATGCTGACTTGGTGGTTAGAGTCTGTGGAAGAAGAGAAATTAATCGTTGGAGACTCCAGGTGATATGACTGAGAACCGATATCAGTGATGCAGATGCATACACATATCTCATCATCTTTTTTACTCGTTTCAACTTCGTTTGATCTACTTTTCTTCATCTTCCATTTTATTGCTCTGTTACTTGATGTGGTGATAATCTGAGGTGTGTGACAACTTGGAGCATTATGCAGTCAGTAATACATGTTCCTATGTTGATTTTAATGATGATAACATCACTTGCTACTAACCAGATAAGAGGAGAATGTTATTGTTATTGTTTGAAGTGATTGATGGAAAGAAGATCACTTAATCACTGGGGTGACAGGTACATCCAGCGGACGAAACCCGCGTCCAGGATTCCATTGCTAGCCACTATTCATTATTACTACCATTAGCGCTAATGTGTAATTTGAGTGTACACTGTCGGTTGTTTGTTAAAATAACTACCAATTTGGTTAGCAAAACTTGGGGATAGTTTGTAACCGGTCTTCTAACCTCAGTAGCTCATTTCCTCTATGCATTACGCGTGATTGTTTAATACAAGTGATTTTCTCGATTTCAGTCCTAACATGATTAGTCTGAAATACGCTGTTTCTCAGTTTTGCCAACTCAATCCACTCAAACGACGAGTCAAGTGATTCTACCCTCCTTTACACTCATGTGTAACGGAACACAAAGTCTCTGGTTATTGTCCACATTTGTTGCCAGTGGATTCGATTCATGTGTATACACTGAACTAAATTACTTGACCATAACGCACCAAATTTTCATTCAATCTTCAATCATCACCCGCTGTCAATATACTAGTCTGCTAATTCACCATAATATCTCAGATAGTCAAGATAGTAATCAATACGATACTCCCTCTCTCTCTAATTCAGTTAGATTTAGATGAGAAGTCCTGACTAGTCAGCCAGAGTTGTATGCGATCATATGATAGTCGGCTAAAACCCTCGGTGATTAAAGATGAAATGAAAATCTGGTCAGCGGTTGAACTTCATAGCTCAGTTGGTGGTGGTAGACCATCGTACTGGAAATCCAGTGGTCACTGGTTCGAATCCGGTTGCAATCCAAATTTTTATTTCACCTTTAATTACCTGTGGATGATTTCATTCAACATATAATGATTATTTCTTAAATATAAATCATACATAAATCGGTTAGAGACAGGTCAATCGAAGGCTCTTGAACTGAATGAGTTATACAATAATATCATAGGTTAAATGACTTTTAAAATAGTGGAGAATATTTAAAGCTCAGGTGGATGGTCTTGGTTGTATTGTTTTCTCTGAGCTTGGGTTGTTTAGTTGTGTCTTGGTTGTATTGTGTGTATTCTCTGATCTGGATTGTTTAATCGTGAAGCTTTCATCGTCTTTCTTCTAGACGACATCATCAGCACTAACTCCAGTATGAAGTGAGCTGTTAATATCTCTCCGTGAGTGATTTAGTAGGTTGCCTTGATGAAGCGGTCTGTGATTGGTTGTTTCTTTTGATTGTTATGTCATTGACTGTATAGATTTTTCTGTTAGCTGTCCCTCTGCTTGACCTCTGACCTTTCTGTCGTTTATCACTTTTCTTATTGGTTGATAGATTGGGTCAATGTCTACACATCTGTTGATTGCTGACTGACCTGAATACCAAGCTTCTAGTTGTGTCTTCGACAGAACATGCTGAATAGTAATTCTTTTGTGGAAGCTTGCCTCTTGAAGAAGTCTTTATATCTTCGAACAATGTGAAGTGTGTTACACTCGTATAATTTTGAAATGTATTCTCTGAGAACACAATACAACCAAAAGTGACTTTAAAGTATAAGCAAAATAATATGACCGTAATCACATTTTTCTTGGCTTCACATTTCTCATATAAAACTGGATTCAGATAGTCTGAATGATTCGCCTTTCTAACAATATTATACACCATTGGTGTGAGTGTTTTTGGTTCCCAATATTGATGAAGCCATTGTCACTAAGCCAGGAAAACTTGTAACGAGATAATTCATGGGTAATGTAGAATTTATCTTTACCTTTAAGGTTTGCCTTAAAACACAGAGGTGACTTGACTTGAAATTTTGTCTTTTTGTAAAAACTTCTTCGAGACTATTGTTTTCTATGGACGACGTTTTCCAATCAGATTATAAGATGCCTATTCAGTAGACATTATTACCCAGAGACCAATAAACAGTCATCATGACCACCATTTATTATTACTGAAATCTATTCACGGTGAACATTGAATACAAAACTGTTTTTCATCAAGAAATTCACATCAAATTAGATTGAATAGTTACTTCTCTCGTGATCCTATACTTGTCAACAGTAACCACCGAAATAAAACCAAGCATTATCAGGTTTCATAATGAATTGGCATTATGGATTGATGTGACTTGAATATTTGATATGCAAACCAAACTATCGTACATCTCGACGTCTGGGTCATGTGGGGGAAGGTTTAGACTATCAGACTGGGGTTATTGAGATGAGAAGGGTCAGTGGTTGAGAAGTCTTGGTTACTTTAGTGTAAAGTCGGTCACTATGGCGTAGATGTCTTCTTCAATTTCTTCTCCTTCCACACACCTTAGACTGTTTCTATCTACTTGTTGTTCCTATACTACTGTGAAGTGTGGCAAATTGAATCGATCCACTTGTGTGCAAGGTTCTAGGTTGATTTTATATATGTCTGTATGCCATCTGGTTGTATTTCAATGATTTACATAATTTTCAACTTCAGTCAACTTTTTATGCAGTACTATTATCATTTAATCCCCAAGAGGATTACCAATCACCATAAGGTTACTGTAAATGAGGGTCAAGAAGTAAGAAACCTAAGTTTGAGCGGGGCTACCTGCCGATTGTTTCCAATTGTACTCAGCAATCTTGTACAAATTCATCCAATAGACAATGATTTACTAATGATGTGCTACCTGGTTGCTTAAACCCTCGATAATTGGAGCGGATCTCGAACTCATGACCCATCTAACAATTTCAGATATCATTTTACTTTTTTATTTGCTAATCTTATCCACATTTCTATTTTTTTTTAGTGTTGGAATTCTGGTACAACAGCAACAGTGTGTACATTTGCTGGTGATACTATTTGTACAGCATGGGTTGGGGATTCACAAGCTTGGCTTGTTTTCCCTTGTACAAATGATAATAATGAGGCTGTACGAAAATTACTATCCAACATCAATTGTTGTTGTTCACGCAATGGTATCCAGAATAATAAATTGTATCATACTACTAGTTTTCATGAACCAGAACGTATGACTGTTCTTATGGAAATCCCGTCAACAGACAGAAACTCAGATAGTAATAATAATAATAATAATAACCCACGTGTTATCAAGTCAACATCCTTGAATATTATGACTGATCATGTATCATTGTGTAATGGTAATATACCAACTAGTCAAAGTTCACCAATCATTGAACGGCATCAGAAACACTCTCAGTCATCACTAGCAACAACAGCAGCAATGCTAATAAAACAATCTAAAGATGATGGAACATTAGTCCATCAAGAGAATCCAACAATTCATTCTACTTTAGAGATGAATGGACCCTTGGGTATACCATTGACCGATTGTATCCATCGTCCAGAATCACCTGTAAGTTGAATACTAATATTTTCTAAATATATTAGATGATTATTTTGTTTCTATTGGTTTAGCGTACTTTATCCAATCAGATATGTAGTATACACTGTTAGATTCCTTCTGATTGGCTAGTGAACATTCTTTGACCTTGGAATTGATTTCAGTTGTTTGTAATGTGATTCGTCAAAATCATTTGAGAATTGAATGTAGATCAATAAAATCTTGATGGTGGTTGGATTTTAAGTATATTTATCATTATTATTTATCCCTTGGGTTCCTAGAGGAACACAGGGCTTCACTATCACATCTCCAGTGTACTCTATCCCCTGCAATCTTTTGAACCTGGCTCCACAACAGCCCACAAGCTCTCATTTCTTCCTCGCACGATCTCCTACATGTCACCCTCAGTTGGGACGCCCAACTCGTCGTTTCCCATGGAGATTCCACTCGATGACTTGGCCTGGTGCGTGATGTCCCCAATCGGCCTTATCAGTGTATACCCAATCCATTCCATCTCCACTTCCTTCCAGTGCATATTTGTTGCGCGATACGTTCTTGCTTCGTTGGTTCGTTGCCAGAGTTCCTTGTTGCTTATTCTCATTATTCTGGCCATCTGATGTGATGTTCAGTATCGAGTTAGCATAGGCAGCAGTTGTTGATGAATGTCTGTAGTTTGTTGGAAATGCTTTTCGTAACGCGCCAAGTCTCTGAGCCATACAGGAGCACTGACTTGACGTTGGTGTTGAAAATCCGGATATTGTTGACGCTTTATGCTGAGTGGAGTGCAGAAGATCTCTACACTGGTTTCAGGTTAATGAACACCTGTCTTGCTGCCTTTCCGATTCTGGCTACTTTGACATCCTCGTGTGTGCCTGTGCCATCTGTAGTTGAAACAGTGCTGCCTAGATAAGTGAGAGAGACTACTTCCTTTAAGTTTCTCCTGTTGATGGTGATTGGAGCTTGTTGTTGTTGATGGTGGTGGTGGTGGTGGTGGTAGTTGTATTGGTTGGGTATCTTCATCACCTCTGTCTTCTCTACATTCACCTGAAAGAAGTCCTGTCTTCACTGCCTCACCTCACCTTTTGTGTCAACTTGTTAGTTTTCGCCTGTAGATCTTCAAGTTTGTGTGAGAAGACATTAGACATAAGTGGATGGTGAAATCGAAATCTCCTAGGTTGTTTTGCGTGGTCGAGCATATCCCCATCTGTTCTGGCTCCTCACGGTGTGTTGCATGATCCAGTTGAGTAGAATCATGAATATCATTGTTGAAAGTAGGTGGGAGCGTTGTTTTACTCGTGTCTGTCTTCACTTGAAAAGCATCACTGAGCTTTCCATTGTGAATTTGTTGTCATGTGTCGTCTTCTTATAGGTGGTGTTGAATGAGTTTGATGAAGGTTTATGGTATTGTGTAGTGTTGAAGCAGCTGCCTGCCAAATTACTTGTTGGTTGACGGTGTTAAAGGTCTTGTGAAAGTTGATGAAGTTGCGGTTGAGTTGAGTTGAGTGTCATTGTATGCTGTGTTCTGTAATGATGAGTAGTGTAGTGTTGCAGTTTGGTGCGTACATTATTTGTACTTCTTGAAGCCTGTTTGTTCCGGTCGTAATTTTCAATGCAGAGTAATTTTCAGTCTTTCTACGATGATGCGGCATAATATTTTGCTAGGGGTGGACAGGAGCGTGATTCCTCGCCAGTTCTTGTCAAGACTTAGGTCGTCCTTCTTCGGGAGTTTGACAAGGTAGCCTTTCTTTCAATCTGCAGGTACCTTCCTTTCCTTACAGACCTTCTACAGTAGTGGTGTGAGCATGTCCGCTGTTGTCCTTGAGTCTGTTCTCAGTGCTTCTGGCGGGATTTCATCTGGTCTTGCTGCTTCCCTGTATTTCAGTAGCTTTATGGCATTCAGGACTTCTATTTCCGTTGGAGGATTTGTGTTCACTCGTAGTTCTGTGGCTGCGGTTGCTGGTGGTATTTCTGGTGGTGGTGTTCGATTCAAGAGCTTTTTGAAGTTGTTCTAAGTAGCAACAACGAAATTACCAATTCTATAGAGGAATGCGGGAAGATCGTTATGATAAAGGAGCCATGAGAAATGAGACAGTCAGGAAATATGATATGGTGCTAGCGTTCATCTGTGTCAATGCGATCGATTCTGTGCTATATTGCCTAGATTGTCTAAACAGTGATTTAGGTTGCCATACGCACTTTAACCGGAGTGTCTAGATTTCCATCTAGACAGATTAAATCAACGTGGAACCTTGCACATAAGTGTATCAGATCAACTTGCCACAATTCACAAAGAAAAGGTGATTAGAATAAAGGTGATGTCAAAGTGAAGAAAGATGTATGTGTGAATAAACAATTTGAAGAGTGAAACTTCAGAATATATCTACCTCACTGTAACCGATTTCTAGCCCTGGTCACCAAGAGACCTCAACCATCGATTCCTATCTTCTCAGGAACCCTAACCAGGTTGCTTACATCTTTCCACAGGATTTAGACCAACAATTAGAGATCTTCCCTAGCATACCTCAACATTTCTCACACAATGATTCCATCAAACTCTTGAAATGCTAGGAAGACACCTATACTCAAAAACTTATAATCTCTTCACACTTACTTTTGATGGCCATACCGCAACCATATAACAGGACAGAACGGTTTGCAGCGCAGTATATACATCCTCTGATAGATAGTCGGATATTTTGCCAGTCGATATCATAGATGACACAAGTTGGCAAGTGTGCTTTCTATCAATTAGCCCGTTTGGGCTTATTCAACTGCTGAAGCAAGTGAAGTGATCTACTTGAGTCACACCAATGATCAGATACTTCATGGGACCATGTTAATAAAGCCTTTAATTCTATCTGGAGGGAGGTTTGTGGAGGTTTATTAATTGACTTCAGATTTAATTTATCACGGACTGACGTCAGTTGGAGGAACGTTGAGAGCACTGTGCAGCTGTTTTGTCCTAGTATGAGATTCCTCAGCAATGCGCACTCATGACCCCGCTCAACAGGGATCGAACCCATGACCTTGAGGTTCCGTAGCCAGCACCTTACCATTGAGCCACTGGGTGGGAATCGAATGGTCCATATTTCTTACTTCTGTCACTTCACGATATAGCGCGACCTACATCCAATGTCATTGTTGAGTAATTGTCCTCATGTTCGACTTGGTTGAACTCCATTAGCCACAATTTCTCATTGGAACTTCAGGAGTCAGCTCTCGAAGTTAGTCACCAGTGAGCTCTAGATTAATTGTTTCTGGAGGTTTATTAATTGATTTTAGGTTGAAATTCATCATAGATTGACATCATTTGGAGGAATATTGAAAACCTGGAAGCTCTATCGTGAGCTAACAGAAGTAGGAAATGTGGACCATTCGATTCTGACCCATTGGCTCAATGGCAACGTGCTGGCCACGGGACCTGAAGCCCCTTGGTTCGGTCCTTATCGAGGCGGGGTCATGGGTGTGTACTGCTTAGGAGTTCCATACTAGGACGAAACAGCTGTGAAGTGCTCACAGATTTTCAACATTCCTCCAAGTGATATCAGTCTACGATGCATTCTGACCTAAAACCTTTAATTGTTGACCTTTTTTTTGCTGTTTCGAAGCTGTACAACCAAGTTTTCTAGATACCCGAATCATGATCATCATCATAAGAATACTATTAAGGTCATGGTTTTACTCATTAGGGAGCAGTTGCTATCGCTAGTTTTCGCATACAGTTTGTTGTTGCTCATTGGGTTCAATACACAAACGTTTATGACATCAGTAATTTTCATTATCAAGAATATAAATTTGTACTTTGGTATTTAGATATTGAGAGTTGGTAGAGCCGTACTCGATCCCCAGATCTCATACATTTCCTCACTCATCAGGAAGGCCTAGTTGATTGTTTATTTGTGTGAGAGAAATTACCTTCACCTTGGTGATGCGAACTTGTATCACTCAGTACTTGAAATCAAAAACTTCATAACAAGTAAGTAATTTAAGTCAAGAATTTCTTATCGATTGACTTCTGGAATACAACGCAGTATCATATCACGTTACACATTTAGCTTAATATCTGAGTTGAGATTGGCTTTTGCCAATTTACACCACCTATGGCGCCACCGTGATATCCGTTTGTCTATTAAGGGTCGTGTGTACTGCACAGCAGTCCTATCTGTTCTACTGTATGACTGTGAAACATGGCTATTGAAGGTGGAAGAGATGAGAAGGATGGCTTCAGGTGTTTGACCACCGTTGCCTTCGTAGTATAGGCCGTATTCCATGGTGTTACCACGTGAGTAATGCAGAAGTTAGGCGTGGAGTTTTATGGAGAAGAGGTTGACGAGTCGATTGACGAGGTTGTGAACCTTTATCGACTGAGATCGCTGGGTGGGACATGTGTCATGTACGCTTAGTCGCCGGTTGCCTCGTCACACAATGTTGGCTGAAGTAGGTCCAGACTGGAAAAAGGCCCGAGGTGGCCAGACTAAAACATGGCACCAATGTATGAAGTTTCTGACTGTTGGTTTAAGCCATGTAGGACGATGCAGACTAGGTGGTTGGGGTCCACGGGACAAGAGGAACCAATGGTTGGAGACCTAGGTGATATGGCTGAGAACCGATGTCAGTGTTGCAGATGTGTACACACATTATCCTCATCTTAACAACGCTTACGAATCTCACGATTTTGTCACTCCTCTTTTCTTTCTTCTCGTACTTTATATTTCTTTTGACTGAATCACTTATCTTCATCCTTCACCTCACTACCTTTTACTTGATGTGGTGATATGAGGTGTGGCAAGTTGGACCGTTACACAGTAATTCCTGTCCTATGTTGATATTGATTTGATCATGATGATGATGCAAACTTGATCGCGGTAAACTAGACAATTAGATCGGCTAGCCAATGATGATTGATTCTGAAAGTACCGAACAGTAGTAGCGTACAATGTATTTACGAAAGCAAATAACATTTACATAAATTCAATAAGGCAAAAGATTTATTCAGTCAGTGGTAGTCATAAATGTGTAACCGGATAATACATTGAGATCAATTGTGAGCTGAATAAGTCTGTGATGGTAAGCATCGATGACTACAACACTGGGTGACGTGGATTTGAAACTCGAAGGGTCGGGGGGTTGGGGGCTATCAATTCTCTTAAAGTTTGAGATATATCAAACTGATGAGTCCTCGAATAAACATGAAACCTAGGTGGTCTGATGCTGGTTGTCTTCAGTCATCTAATATCCTTGAGAATTAATTAACTAGGTTTTTTTTTTCAATAATTTTTCTGTTATATATTTCAGTGTTTGTTTTTTTGTGTGTGCCTTACCTTGGCTTTATTTTACTTCACTTTCAGTCTGAATTTGTTTCTGTCCTAAGAATTGGTGGTTCAATATCTACTGAAATTGGTTCAGAGAATAGTTCATCTATAGAAAATGAAATTTTTTTTTCACATACACCTAAAGGTTCTTTGACAAATTTAACTATTGTACATGATGTAAAAGATAATTTTTCCAATCATAATTGTTATAATAAACGTGTTTCTATTCCACCATTGAATAATCCAGGATTAATTGATTGTCGTGTAGGTTGTTTATCTTCAGTTAGTCGATCAATTGGTGATAATGAAACAGTAATTGGTTTAAATGCTTTACCATCAATTACATTATGGTCAGTTAAACAATCTTATTTGAATAATTCAATAACAATGCCATTATGTTTAATTATAGCAAGTGATGGTTTATGGGATGTACCAGGATGTTCTGGTCCAGAGATATCTTTATTAGCTTGGTATTGGTATAAAGAACATATTGATGAAAGAAAAGAATGTTTAAATTATAATTCTTTCTCTGAATTTTTAATCAATTTAGCTATACAAAATGGTGGATCAGATAATATTACATGTAATGTAATATGGTTACATAAATGGAAACCAACCAATTTAAAAGGTTGGAATATTGACTATCCTATATCATCATCTAGAATTAGATGGCCAAGACATTCACGTGTTACATCATTAATCAACTTGAACTCTTCTAATGATATTTTATTCAGAGGTCCAAGTGATTATATTTATTCACAAATGAATCAATCAATCAATGAAAATTACTCCAAGTTGAAAAGATCATCATCATTCAATAATAATATATCTAATCATTATAATTCATTGACACCACGTTACTCCAGTCCACCACGTGATATAATCTATGATTCATATTTATAAATTATAACACAATGACTGTTGAACGTATTGTCCACCCCCCCCTTCCCAGTCCTACCATTGTATAAAGTGTGTATCATTCACACCCTTCTTCTTAGCGTTTATTTAATAAACAAAAAGCTGAACTCTATATCGTATTATCCAATATAAATGAGAGTATATATGGGTATACTCATCAATTATTCACTGTATTGCCTTATCTTAATGAAATTAAAATTTTGAGAAAATATGCAAAATATTCTGCATTTTCATCTTATTTTAAATAATAAATAAAAAAAATAGCGGTTTCCTCTTATCTTTGAATATACAAACTAACTCCAGTAAGTCAATTTGTTCGTTTGTTTGTTTTTTTACTAAAAAAATCTTTGCCTACTTATGAGTAGTTCAAGTTTTCCTGTTAAAATTTACTACTGTTGTTTTTATATATGTGAATGGATTCTGCATTCATTTTAAACGCGCATTATACAATACACACATTAGGTTTTGTTGTTTTATATCTAAACCTGGATGGATGTGTGTGTTGTATTTTTTTTCTTTTTCGCATCTTTCTAAAAAAAAAAATTCAGGAAAAAAAATTAGGGAAGATAATTTCTCTTGTTTGTATGTGATAACTTTCGTTATGGTTTTTGTGTGATGAACGCGATAAAACTTTTTATTACTGTTATTAAGTTGCGTTCGTTGTTTGTTTGTTTTTCGGATGTGAATGGAATACTGACGCATTTCTTTTGTCATTCTCTTTCTTACTTGTACTATCCATTACTGGATAGTTTTCTTTTCTTTTTCGTATTACACATTATATAAATATATATGGTGTTTCGAGAAACGTGAGAAATCTTATATGGTATTGGCAAACACTGGTATTACTGAGATAAGTAGATAAATATGTAACTTAGTTTCTCTCTGTTATGCTTATTTTATCATATTTTTTTCCATCAGATTAAATTCTGTAAGTAGCAAAATTGATACTTCTTTAGTCTATCGTATTGCTGAACAAATATGCACTGGAAGGAAGTGGATCCGGCATACACTGAGAAGGCCGACTGGAGACATTACGCTCCAGGCCAGTTGCTCGAGTGTAACCCCGATGGGAAGCGACAAGTTAGGCGTCCAAAGCGAGGGTGATATGGAAGAGATGATGTGATGAAGAAATTCCAGAGAACAGTATGGAATAGAGACGTGCTACTGAAACCCTATGTTCCATTAGGAACCCAAGGGATACATAAATAATACTTAGTGATAAACACTACCTTTTAAAATGTGATCTGTATGAATTGCAGACAACATCATTAGTGTCATTATTGTAGAAGCAACTGAAAAAACTCGGTTAATAGTTGTAACCTGGTAGAAATACGGAATTGTGAATCATTCAATTCCATGCAAGTGAACGCGTTTAATGTGAAACATGAAGATTTTCAGTTTCATCCCTGATATCACTGTCCATGATGAATACAACCCTACTGAACATCAAGATAACTTCACAACTTTAAGACAAAGTATGGTAAATATTGGGCGCTGAGTAAAAGGTTTATATTAGAATATAGATTAGATATTTGTATAAGTCACAGTGGGTTTGAAATCAAATAATTCCACTGTTGTTTCGCATGGAAGTCTGGTCCAAGCTTCTTCAGGGAAATAATCAAAATACAAATATGAATGGCTCCAGAGACGTGTATCTAATCTTCTTGTCCAGTCCTCTTTGTATAGCTATTGCCTTGTATTATACTGTTGTTGATTGGACCGAATTGATCGGTCTCTGTTAGCATATGGGCTCCTATGCGGATGCCTCAATACTATCTGTGTTCTAATTATAGAGTCCTACGGTTATAATACAAGCAATTATAATAAAATTATACCCGTCCCACAAGAAGTGGCTATCGTGGCTCGGTGATGTAGTGGATAACGCTTTGGTGTTTGAAGCGATGGCTCCCTAGTTCGAATCCTGGTGGGACCAACATCAATCACTGGGAGGCAGGTACATTTAGCTGACGAGTCCCAAATCGGACGAAATGCGCACCCTAGGCATCCTCACAGCAGCTCATATGCCAATAAAGACCGATCAATTCTGTCCAATCAACGATGGTATGATATAAAGATATTATAGTCATTCGTCAATTTTTATAAGTACAACAGAATGGATGAAGCGGATATGTATGGCATTTTAGTTGGAATATGGTTGAGAATACTATTAACTAATTTTTTCCTCTTATTGATTTACCAGAACAGAGTGGAAATGAGGAATACTAATGTTGATGATTGTAATAGTGAATCAAATCAATGCAGATTGTATTGTTGTTGTTGTTGGTGATGCAGAAATAATGAAGTTGAGACTAATGTTGACGGTAAAGGCTAGAATCAGTCTTTTTTTTACTCCATCTCGTTGGTTGAAACTGTCTGAATTCATCCATATATCTAAACTTTGACTGTGTCAATCTTTCTTGGCATGACCCAAAACTTTAATTCCATCAAAGTCAATTTTGTATCCCATTTCTATGGAGTGTAGCGTGATTGCAGATTTTTTTTCTAGTTTCTAAACCTCTGTTGAAGTTTTTCGGATCTCCTACAAGCATAGTTTATGCTCATTGACTCTCATATTTACCTGCTTGGTTGTTTCCACTCCATATACTAGAGTACAGTCTCCGCATTTGATTTTATAAATGCAATTCTGTTGATTTTTCCTTAGGTACTACATCTTTAACTTTCATTAAGTTAGGACGTAGAGTACTTGTAAAATTACCAAATGACTATGATGTCACCTGTGAACTTTTTGTTGATACTCTCACAATCAAGACATGCACATATTAGAAAGAAAAGGTACCTGCCAAATTCCTAAAGAAAGGAGACCTACGTTTTTAAAAGAACCGCCGCGGAATCATGCTCCACCGCTGTCTATCTCAAGCAAGATATTAAGCTGCATTGAAAATTACGACCGGAACAGGCTGGATTCAGGAAGTACAAATCATGTCCAGATCAAATTCCAACGCTACGCATCATCATAGAACAGAGCATAGAATGGCAGTCAGCTTTACACCTCAACTTCATCGACTTCCAAAAGGCCTTCGACATCATCGACCAAGAAGTAATTTGCCAGGCAGCTGCTTCAAAACTACGGTTTCCATGCCACAATCCTTTATCAACCTCGTTGAACAGCAGCTATATGCTAGATGATGACGCTACATGCAAAGTGATTCACGATAGAAAGCTCAATAATGCCTTTGAAGTGAAGACAGAGGACAGGAGTAAGACAAGGTTGCCGCCTACTATCATCACAGATCATCTTCTTGGTTGTGGTCGACTAGACTCAACTGGATCATGCAAAAAACTGTGAGGAGCGAAAAGATTGTCATAGGCTGGCTGGACTGATGAAAAGACCACAGAAGAAGATTTAGATTTCACCAATCATGGTTTATACCTTATGTCGCAAAAACTTGAAGATCTACTGGTGAAAACTAACAAGTTGGTAGAAGAGGCGACGAAGACGGCGTTTCCTTCAAGTAGACGTAGAGGAGACAGAGGTGATGAAGATAACCAATCGACAACAAGCACCAATCATCACCAATGAGAGAAATCCAAAGGTAGTTGTACCTTTCAACTACCACCTAGATAGAATCGTTCCAACTACAGATGGCACAGGCATAGATGAGGACGTCAAAGCCAGGATGGGAAAGACAGACAGGCGTTCATTAATCTGAAACCAATCAGTGTGGAGATCCACTGCACTCAGCATAAGGCGTGAACACGATCCGGATTTTGAACAGTAAGTCAATGCTTCTATGTGATGCTTGAGAGACTTGGTGCGTTAGGAAAATCTTTCCCAACAAACTGCAGATATACATGAACTCGATAGTGACACTGAAGATCAGATGGCCAGAATAATGAGAATAAGCAAGAAGGAAGTCTGCCTGCCTGGTCACGAACCAACCAACAACTTATCGCCCAACAGATATGCAGTAGAAGAAAGTGGAGATGGATTGGATTGGACATACACTGAGAAAATCGATTGGGGATATCACGCGCAACGCGAAGACATCGAGTGGGACGCGTATGGGAGCCGACGAGTTGGGCGTCCCAGCTGAGGGTGTCATAGAGGAGATCGTGTAAGAAAGAAATGAAAGCTTCTGGGCAGTGGTGGATCCAGGTTGAAAAGACCACAGGGAAGAGAGTGATTTGCTGACGTGCTACTGAATGTCTTTTATTCCACAAGGAACCCTAAGGGATACATGATAAATAATAATAATAATACACATACACATGTAACATACATACATATATCCACACTCTGTATAAGAAAAGATGTTCAATTTCACACTGAATGATTAGTTATCATTGTTTAAAAAGACAATGATTATACAAAGAGGACTGGACAAGGAGATTAGATACACGTCTCTGGAGTCATTTATATATTTATCCTCGATATTTGTATTATGATTATTTCCCTGAAAAAAGCTCGGACCAGACTTCTATGTGAAACAACTTTGGAATTATTCGATTTCAAAACCACTGTGACTTATAAAAATATCCAATGTGTATTATAATAGCAGAGTTTTTATATTCCTAATTCTCTCTACTTCTGTGTGATAATAAGGGTAGTAGAATTTTCTACTTATCTGGGAACAGATGCAGGATCATTTCTATTACTACATGTATTCGATGAACGAAGATTTACTTGTCAATCTATTCCTCCATCCCATTAGGTTAGTTTTAAGAATTCCCACTCTGTTCCATCGACTAGAATATAAATGATATGAATTCGATTCTGACCCACTGGCCGCGGAACCTGAAGGTCGCGGGTTCGATCCCTGCTGGTGTGGGGTCGTGGGGGGCGCACTGCTGAGGAGTCACATACTAGGGTGAGACAGCTGTCCGGTTCTCCTAGGTTTCCAATATTACTCCAAGTGATGTCAGTCTACGATGAATAATAACAACTTGAAATATTTCCAAATCCCCACAACTCCATCAAAATCCAATTGAACTGGTGCTCATTGGTGACTAGCTTCGAGGGGCGA